ATTGTAAGTCTCGCCTTCCGGTAGAACGTCCTTTATCGACACGCGCCAAGAGTCCTTAAACATTACGACCTTCTTGTTGAGGATATCATACGCAGGGCACGTGCGAGTCCAGCGACCAACAAGAGGGTAACCTTTTGTGACAGATTGGGGAATAATCAACACCAACCAGTCAGAAGCCCTCAAAGCCAGGATCCCGAGGGACTGCAAACTCTGTACAATGCACCGTGGTAATGGCAAGGTTTTAACACCAGGTCCTTGGCGAGGGGCAGCATCTTTCGTCGGCTAGCGGGCGTCACGGATAAATTATCGACGCCACGCAGTGCATGCTGATGCTCGTGTCGAAAACGATGTGAAGGGAAATCGGCCAAGTTGTGGCTCGGGATAGTATGGCGAAGGCTGTTCGTGACGATAGCTCCCTCCCTGTCCCATCTGATGATTGCGAGCACGATTACGAACGATGAGGACAGAGAATGCATGGGTACGATATTGAGCGCCGAGTTGAGCGACAGCGTAGCTTGTTATTTGACCTAATGTGTCGAAGCCCTTATCGTCTGAGATACAAGAGGTTGATCGACTCTAGGATGTTGCTGAATGCGTCGTGGGCATCAGTCCATTTGAATTCGATGATGACTTCGGATTTTGGAAATGTCACAGCCGTGTGATGTTCCATCGGCGTATACGCATACGTCCGGCTTGACATTGAAGGTGAATGATGAACAGTTCTTCATGTCTGCATGTTTGGAAGTGTTCACAAACGATAATTGCGGAGCGAAAGGTCGTATGGCGTCAATCTTGCAGATAGACGGTCAAGAATCTTCATATTATAGGTGCGGGTCACTCACGAATGGTTCGTAAGCATCCTCTTCTTTCCTGATGGATTGCATATTGAATACTTCGGCATTGGAGGCCGAAGCGAAGCGCGAAGCAAAGTCCGAGGTGTCATAATCTTCAGGGTTCGGTAGGAACTCGTCGAGAAAGTTCTCTACTGACATCGGGCCAACGACATGGGCTTGCATCTCCTTGCCCATGGAGTTGAGAGTATCGATTCGGCATCGTGCGAGGGTCGTGAAGGGTAATAGTGTAGAACTATCCCGTTTAATGGGAGTGTCAAGGATAGGGGAAGCTAGCGGCGCAGCAGGCTGTGCCTGTATTGCTACAGCAGGAGCGACGGTTCTATCAGCTGCAAGACTATCCCGTTGGAGAGTGCCTACGGTAGCAGGAGTAGGCTGCGCGGCAAGCTGTACTGGTATTATTTCTGCATTTATAGCAGCAGCAGGAGAGACAGTCCCATGAGCTATAGTAGGGTGGCCCAGGTCGAGACCTAAGGTCATGATATTCGATACAATATATAATATGTACTGGTATATGTGGGTATATGTATGTAACGGCAGAACAGCCGAACGTGTTTATGGTGTTTATGTACTTAAGAGAGAGAAAAAGAAGACAAGATAACAACATCACGAGGTTTATATAGCGAATAGAACTCAGTCCGGAGTTTTCCCGCGCGATGACAGAAAGAAACACTACTAGTGAATACATAATCAAACTCAATTTGAATTTCGGGCCCAGCGCCCACTTCATGTGTCTGCCGTCTTGAGAGCTCTTTTTGATCGCAGGACGCGAAGGACTTGCGCGAGGCTGTATAGCAGTGCACATCGTAATTAGTTTTTGTGATAATTCAGTTCCTATTGAATGTGAGTTATCGTGAATTGTCAGAACTTCGGGACGCACCCGACTCAGAGACACAGCAACGATGTGCTGTGGAGAGAAGTTCCACCGCGCAAAATGTGAAACCACCCACTCAGGCATGACGATTGTGAGATGTTCAGCGAGTGCTGACGAGAATAAACGAGCCGGGAAGTGAGGATAATGGCGGAAAGGATCAGAGTGAGAATGCGACGGAAGGTGATGCCGTACGGCGAAGCACACTCCTCGTTCGGTCTCGAAAATATACTTAATGGTCCCTGGTGTTGGTTCCACACTCCTAAGGCCGCCGGGATAATAAAGGATCAGGCTATTGCCAACATGAGTGGAGTCGCGAGTGTAGGTGGATCCCTCGTGGAGGATGCGAGCATGCAAGACTGCTCGCCGAACTTGAATGAGCTGGCGGAGGTCTTCCGGAATGACTTCTTTTAAAGTAGGGGGCATCGGGTGACCTTCGGATACATCGCTGGGATTGGCATTGATTGAAGGAGAAACGAATCTGTCAAATAACCACTTGACCTCCCTAAACACGGGAGGACAAGAGGGTCGGTTCAGCCAGTATTTGAGCTTTGCAGCCTTGATGTATGACCGGAGGAGAGTCGATTCTTGCTGTCCTATATTCCAGCTTAGCGTAAGAAGTCTATCATCGACAAAGAAGTTCGAATGCTACCAAAAATGTGATTACTGGGCAACCGCTGCAGCTGTCCGATGAGGCGTTCATATGGGAAGCACCACCATGACCGCACGGGTCCAAAGAGGTGCAAGTAGTCCCAGACGTGCAACGCCATATGGCCATTGGTTCGATGGCGTGCATGGGGGAGTACTACCTGTAAATCCCTTATCCAGTTGACCATATATGTGCGATATGCGTCTGCGCGATCTGTCGTCATAGATCGCAAACATACGATATGAATAGCGGATACAAGGGACATCGTGTGATCGAGGATGGCACGACGGCTGGCTGCGATGTCCGAGTTGCGATGTACCGATCCCTCGCCCCATAAACTGACTAGCGCTATGGGTAAGTATACGGTCGTTAGCGTGCGCCATTCGTCGGCCTTCACGGTCCCAGCTTTTGTTTCACCGAAGTTATAGGGGACTGATCTCAAGAAAGAGGGCGCATCTGTTGTCTTAATGACATCAAGAATACGTCGCATAACTTCTGGGGTAGCAATGCGCGATTTTGACAACCCGGGAGCAAAAGGCTGTGTTCGACGCTACAAAAATGTCGCTTAGTTAAGAGGAATGAGAACGGCAATACCAAAACGCCTACCCAACCCAGGAGCGATCTAACCCAGTGGACTTTGTAGACTTTTTTGCCGGGGTGCGTGACCTCTGGCCCGATGCCCAAACCTACAGATACGAACCGAAGGCATGCTACCTTCTTCGACGACAGTCTTCTCTCCAAGTCGAGAACGTGATCTTCAATGAGCTGAGGGTCATCTCCCTCAAGGTCGGCAACCGCTTCTGTGAGAAGGCTATGGATTGACTTGACGACCCTGATGTCTTTCTCGTCGAACTCTCGAGGTTTGTTTAGATCAACGTCGAGGAAAGGATATTCAAAAGCAGGGATGGCATCAAACTTGCGATTGGCAGAGTCGGCTGTGAGGCCTAGAAATTCGCGGAAATGAGCATGCGCGAGACCCTCCAGGAGACAATGCATGGTGTCGACGACAATTTGACGAGAGGGATCCCAGTACGATAACCTCCAGAGTGTTGACCATCGCACGCCGTGTGATGCAAATAGTTTGTTGCGCTCCACCGAAGTTCCGGCGTTCTTCCAGAGCTCAGCATGGCGACGCACTTCGTTCTTGTCCCTAAGTGCCCAATCTTCAGTCTGGATATCTGTTCTACCGCAAGTCGACCTGTGCCAGCAATGGCACGCAGTGCAATAAAAGTGACTCGTTGGACCCGCCAGCTGAGCAGCCTTTCTCGCCGCCGGGAGGTCGCACACAAGAAACGCTATGACGCTGCGCGTAACCCGACCAGAGGCATGGAGAGCTGTGCGGGAACAATGTATCCCGCGTTCCCAACTTTCTACCATGTCGTCAACCACGGGATCAAGGAAGTAATTCAGCTCATCACCCGAAGGTTCTGATGGTCCAGGGATGATGCCAGCTAAGTACATGTGTTCAGGTTTATACCGAATATTGAGGGGGAGGTTCAAACATGCACATGAGATGATGCCAGTAGAGGTTGAGGCATTTCGCTGGAGATTGCCCTCAATGTTGAAAAAATCAACGTTAAGCGTAAAAGCGTATCGACCCTCGACGCCTCTATCGATGAACAAGGATTGCCCGGAAGGACCCTTGAAAGTGCGAAAGAAGTCGGCATCCCAAACATCCTTGATAATATGTGGTGGGCGCCCAATGGACGCCAGCAAATCATCGCAAGGCTTATCCATCAACGCTTCAAGGTCGGGACGAGACAACAATCCAGCAAGGTAGTCGTGGAAGTGGTGATACAGGAATATTTTGATCGGCTCCAATTGCCCATCAGCAGAGGGCTGCAACAGCGGCTCGTCGCAAGGGCCGTCCTCTGGTATCGGAATATTGTGGCACTTCGTGGGGTATCGGGCGCGACTTGAACTAAGGCAGGCGGTCGGTTTATAAGTACAGTTGCATGCTGGACAGACCGCGTAAGTTGTAGTCTGGGCGTCGAGCTTGAAGCGCGAAAGGGCGGTTTCCATGGAGCGCGGGATTTGAGACAGTGTGTTTTGACGGCGAGACTCAGAATGAGGGTTCTGAGCATCCATAGCAAGGCTCAAAATGAGGGCAAGGACTCCCATGAGGAATTCCCCGTGTCTGCGACCGATGCCAAAAATGACGACGGAGACGGCCCCTAGAAAGAGGGAAATCTGGGCAACCTCGTCACATAGGTCAATTGGCAAGTCGAAATGGTGGGCTTCATGTTTATTAGTCGAAGGGCATAAGAAGGATGAAAAAAACTCACACGAATCGAATTCGAGCGGCTCGGATGACACAGTAAGTGCATCTTCCTTGTCGCAGAGGAGTCTGTGCATGTCATCGCACGACGCCTCTAGCTGACTTCTGCGAGAAACGATACACGAGACCTTGTGCTTGACTTTTCTGAGGGCCGTCTTGATCACAGCCAGTTCATCTCGGATGGTTTGAATAATATTGCTGGAAGTCGCAGAGAAAATTCGACCGCGAGCCCTGTCTATCCGTGACTCCACAATGTCCAAGGCTGCTTGAGCCTTTGACTGGCGCCGCTTCTCGGCAGCTTGAAGAACAAGGGCAATGTGTCTGGGAAACAAGTAAGTTAGGGAACGTGTGTATGATATGATGCTTACTGCGCGTCATCTTCCGTGAATCTAGCTGTGCCGTCCAGAGAATGGTAGACCTTTCCCTTGTCTTGTTGAACTTCTGATCGCGAATTCCAGAGTTTGCTGTGACTGTCTGGATTGGCGTCGTTGTCTGTTAACGTGATGGCAAATAACTCGGCGGCGAGATCGTCGACCTGTGAAGTATTAGGCTCCAGCTGCTGGCGAGCGAGATGAAGCACGGATGCTTCACGTTCAGACGACGAAGGCAAGTCGGCATCTTGCAATAAATGTATGGTTTTCTGAGCGATAGGCACTTCTTTGCCACCAGGATTACCAGGTATGCCGTCCCCTCCAACTTCGCAACACCGCGCGCACTTGCAAAAAAACATGCGGCTAGGCATCTAAACAAACGTCAGATGATGCACTATACACACGTCGTTGATCTGACCTTTGAGAGAAAAGAAAAGGGGGTAAAATAGTACAAAGTCACACGCATATACGCGTGGTGACATCTAAAGAGTCAGATAACGTATAAGGTAAGGTCTGGATCCCAGGTTGTTAGGGGCGATGCCAAATTACAAGGAACTTATGAGGACTTACTAATTCTATGAGACAGGGCGCCGGATCTAAAACGCGAATGTAAAGCACAACTTCTGAAGACGCAAACGTACTTTGCTTACCGATCTGTACAAGCCTGATTTTTTGTGATGATCTTTACTCATAATGATTAATTAAACTACGACCAAGCTATGACAGTACAGTACATCGAAATCAGAAAGAAAGTCGATTGCCAATTGAGGACGCTCAAATACTGAACGACTACATAATCAAGCTCCGCCGGAATTTGGCGCTCAGCGCCCGACGTTGGATGTAAGTAAGAAATATCGATTACAGTGTTACAGTGGTACAAATATCATCAGGCTATTCTGTTCAGCGCTGGGTTACACTGGATGTAAAGAATGACTGATTATGAGCAGTTCTTACCTGGTGAGACATGCAGATCCACAGCCAGTTCAACATCGCCCGCTGCAAAGCTACGCATAATGTGGAGAAGATCCCCGGCAGCAGTAGCCGAGTAACCTCGCAAAGTAACACGCTTGACTTGAGGAAGAGCCTGAATCCATGCCGCGGATAGCGCCTATGACCACCATTAGTATTGAAAAAGTGCTGTAACAACAACACACACCAATGGATCACCCGCAGCACCGGGGACCGAACCATCTGAGTAATCAATTACCAAGTGTTTGATGCGGACCATGGAATGGGCGCCCGATAAACACATCATTGCTGCACTAGAATGACCATTAGGCAGGGAAAGGACAAGATGTCCGATGCTGTCGCAATAGCTAACACATTGCAAAACGGAGGTGATGTAGTCGGGCGATGGATTATGGGCTTGTAGGGAAATATAAAGACAGGCGAGGTTTTGTGGTTTACTATGACTCCGAAGCACTGGAAGGAGATGCGACAGGGGTCCATCCAGAATAGACAAAGAAAGAGTCAAAGGAGTGATGATTCGATTGGCCCTCCAGGGACCACCAGGTGGCGGAATGACGCTGAGGGTACTGATAGCTGGGTGACGGGCCAGAAAACGAATCAGCGTGGGTGGCGCACACTCCCCATCGACTCGGAGTTCTATAAGCGTTGGGATCGCAAAGTGGCATAGGAGTGTGTCCCATTGTGCAGAACTGAGCTTGACAGAACTCAGTCGAAGTTTTTCCAAACATCGGGAAAGACGGATGGTCTGAATGGTGAAAGGAAGAAGCTTTGGGGAAAAAAACGTCCGCGAAGATGCGTCAAAGGCTTTCAGGGTGTTCGGACCTACACACGCCTGAATTTGGGCGAGGCCAGTGACGGACGGTGAGACATCGCCATCGCAGAAACCCATGCACGTCAGTTCTTCGACGCCGGAGGCACGGATGTTTTTCCAGTAATCTAACAATTTGAGAGAAAATCGGGGAAGTGAGAATGTTGAAGTTCCAGAAAAGTGTGATGTATCGTATAGATTTGCGGGGGAATGGACTCAAGGAAGTGCGAAAATGCGGATAGCTGTGAGGATTGCAAATCGGAATCCAGCCAACTCAACACCATACGCGGCGGACGAAAAGTGTCCATTCGTCTCACAAGTAGACAAAACGTCAAAATTTGGCGAGTCTACGCGAATGTGGAACAGGTCCTGCGGAGAAGT